AGCATTCGGTCAAACAAACGAGTGAAACATTGAATGTATCCCACGCCCTTGCCCCGGGGACCGTGTTTCTGAGAGGCCTGAGTGTAATCGTTTCGGTGAAATTCACTGAAGCTTTATCAGTCACAACGAAGAAACCGGCGAACATCTGCGTACAGACCGGTGCTCGAAACGTACATGAATTGGATGAGCTTCTTGCGCACATGTTTGAATCATCTCCAAAAAGAACAGAAATGTTGTTGGACTGAATGCAGATATTGGCCACAATATATAGACCTGCTCAGTGCAACACTTATAGCTGGTTTTGCCGTTGTTTTCGAATGCCGAGCAGGATCGAAGGGCCACAGGGATTAAAAAGAGACAGTCTCAAGGTTTGCTTCGGACAACGCCGATTTCCGACCAGCCTAAACAGGATTTACACCAACATCTCGTGGGTTCCTGATAGGAGAAGTATTGTCTGGCGGCGATTCGGGTTCACGGGTGTGTTTGTTGGTGGACAGGCGTGTGCAGTAACCCCTTCGTTTATCAAATGGCCATCAGCAGTAGACCCCGTCCAAGACACTGAAGGATTAACTGCGATATCCAAATGGACCGATGAGGATATTTTCTACAACGATGTGGGAATAGCCACCGTAAAGGCATAGAGATACCCAAACCATAGATTTGACACTATTCGCGGACTTCCTCGGATACAATCTGTTCACATGTATACACAGAGTGACACTCGCCGATTTCCCCAAATGACTACAACTTTGTGAAGGAAACCCATAAGGTTGGTAGGTTATCGAAAAATCTTGAAATATAAAAATGGTCAACCATTGCTCTAAAAAAACGAGTACCACGTCAAGCCCACAAGCGGTGAGAATTGTTCTCCGTCTTGTGGTTGGTCAACAAAGGTGACTCGTAACGGAAGAAACAACAAACCTTTTCCGTGTGCACTGGTGCACAGTCCGAGTGACGGACTTCGTCCGATAGCGAGCCAACTGATAAGGGAGTATCAGACGACCGGAACTGGGGGCCTGATTCCAGTATCTCCACCTCCGCTTCACAGCAAACGACTTGGCAACTCGTCCAGTCGCAGGTAGAATCACATGAAGCCACCTGAAGATCTTCCGAAAAACCCGCGCCAAGTTTGTGCGAGGCATAAAGACGGAGATCAGAAGTCACAGCGCGTACAAAAGCAGGCGCGTCGGTGAAAGCAAGCAAACACTGAGGCCAGGCGACGGGAGGACTGGAGGTTCATGGTGAAAAGAATAGGAAGTTAGACATGACTCAAAGTTATCAGAAGAAAGGACCAGTAAACGAGAACGAATCACCTACCAAGGCTGCGGTAAACTGGACCTGACTGTCAGTAAGTGGACGGGTAAATCTAACATCCAGTCGCTCGGCCTAGGATCAATCTTATCGGCCAACAGTGTCTGTTGCTGATGTCCACTACATTGGATTACAGGGATAGACGTCTTGCAATACTCATCCGTCGGCTGACTTGCATTAGTAACTGCAAGTGACTTGTACTCCATGGCCTGGGCATGCTGGGCAGCAAGCACAACAGAAGTGGTAGCCAAACTGTGGGGCGAATGGATAAGAGTATGTGAGTTTCGAGCAATGGCTGAGCCAATTTCGCTCGACGGACTACTTGGAGCAGGTCCAGGAGGGTCGTTACTCAGTAAAAGAGATGAGGCGAAGTCGTCCACTTCTTCAATAGTCAATTCAGCTGTCTCCACTTCAAACACTTCGTAGTCCTCGAGTACTAATGGAGCAGCTGAACCGGGTTCATCGGCCACGGATTGGAGTTGCCTCACTCGCCCCTGTCGGGTACGCGGGGACATCAGGCCTACAAAGAATAACGGATAGTATATATATCGTTTTAGAGCTAGGAGGATACACCGTAGCACACAACAATAGAGTAACATCAAATAGGACCTGACCGGCGACCTCGTGAACAGAACTAACGTAAGACTCACTTCTATGTGATGCTTTACTACAAACAGGCTTGAGCAACCAACAAAAGTTGATGATGATATGTTGGCCAACTATTCAGAATAGGCTTCAACAAAGATTAAGGTTGCCTGGCAGCATCAAATAGCGCAGCAATCTTTATTGATCATACAAATGGTCGAGTATTCCGGGGAAACTTGGTTGTTTGTATTGTGAACAGCATGACCTTTTAAGAGCACCGGCCAGTCTATTGTTACAGTTACAGGTTTCGCGGACGCCACCACGAACTACCCTCCAGCCCATTCGGTGAAAGTACCAACTGACTGAAGAGCGGAAAGCCATCCATTAAGGCATAAATGTGGTAAATCCAGTCTACTGGCATGTTAGTCAGTATACCGATGAGACCCACGGCCATCCGCTTTCATTTTGTATATTACACTGCGTGATCATCAGTTTACCCGCTGAGCCAGGCAACTAAGTTACCAACGTTACATGACCAATCGAGGCAAGACAACCAGTGCGTTAATACTGATGCCAGCGTCAGTTAGTGTGCACAGACACTTCGCTTTAAAATGATGTACTGATGGTACCATCCCGATTGGTAATGGAAAGTTTACAACTAAATTGCTCGGCTCAGAGAACAAGCCCACGATCATCTCCTCAATTGCACTGATTTATGCACGGTGAGTGTCAAAACCTACTTGAGCTCCAGAACAGTCCTGCAACCAGCGGCGTATGGTTATCATCAACCAAACTAACTAAACAAGCAAATCCAACACTGCATATGATGCGTGGATTTTCAACCTGCATCATTCGTAAGTCACAGTAAGTACATGCCTACGTAGCTTAAGTCTGCCACGAGTCTGTTTGAGTCGTATGATGGCAACGCGGAAAGTAAAGTACGTCGTAGCCTAACGCTCCCATCGTTTCGATCCATGAATGCAGTTCATAAAGACGGATCCCGAGTACCTCTCGCCAGAGCACTGGGAAGTGCGCGCAACGGTGCGGTAACGAAAGAACACTGTGAACGAAGGAAAGTCTCAATGGTGCAGAAGAAGAACGGCGAACCCATTCACCGAAGGCAACATAATGACAGTCAGACGGAATTGTGGAAGTAAAACAAAATATATGTGAACGAGTGGCTGTATTTCCGGCAAAGTTAGGGGACACGAAGCAGTAGTTAAAAAGGAAAGCTGATCTATAGCATGATACTTAATTGGACGAGCAGGGGGAGGAGGAGGAAAGCATGGAGATCCGCGCTAATTCAGGGGGCACATTCTGAATGGTAGTATATTTGTTCTTTTGTGCATTTGAACAGAGCGGAGACAAATCGCACAAACCCAGTGTCCATGGGTTTATCAAGTCCACGAAGAAGACGACGTCGCATCACTCCAACAAATTCACGATAGCTGAGCTGACCATCATCTGTGTGGAGATAGAAAGAGTGATCCAATAGGGTTGAAAGCACCATTACCGTGCTCAAAAGTTTACACAGCGAAAGAAACACAGTGTGCGCGAATAAAAATAGGAATGCAAATGCACAAGAGACGCTTTGACCAAGGGGCCTTGGGTATAAGTACCCCATTTCTACTGTAGTTACGATATGGTACGCTAAGCCACTGTGCTCTGAGGATGTCAACTTGCCATGTATTAGTGCAATTTTTGGCGAGGAACTCAGACTGCTAGAATTTCTGTTTATGTTGCTCTTTGGATCTTTGACTTGATACTGTCGCGCTGAAAATTTGGCATCTGTGAATCCCTGTGTTAATTAATGGGCGTGAGAATCTACACAGTGTTACGGTTATATCTGGTGGGTCTTCCCACATATTAGTTTCCAATGAGCATATACGTGATTTGACATCAAGAGTAACAAAGCACGAAATATGTTTGCATGCGAGACTTGTGGAAAGCCAATGATGCAAAAAGTCTGATCATGAACAAACGATGGAACCCAGCGGACATCCGGGATAGTAATCTGAATTCACGCCCTGGTTAGTAGAGACCTCAGGTCAACGCCGCAGATGGTACAATCCAATGCATTGTTTATACGCTACTTATTTCAAAAAAGTAGTTGAAAGAGTACGGCTAGTATCAATGCTGATGGCCTTAACCTAGCCGCGCAACCGCTGACAGTCAACAATTCGTTCAACGGATTAACAGTGAACGTTGGGCTGAATCAACATCCAAATGGATCCCTCTTTTGTAGCATTCCCTGACCAAATAAGCAAAGGCTTTCCCACTAAGGCTGATATTAAAGACACCAAGGTAACCTTTCTTCATACACCCCATACGATACACAAGGTCTGATTAGGTTATTCTGCGAAGGTGTAAGAAACCGGACATTCGGAAAAAGACATGGTAGGAGGCTTTCCAGGGGAGAAAGTCTACTGTTAAACATATTGATCAGCCTGTTTAGCTGTTTAGTGTTAAATCTTTTCGAAAACCTAATCCGAGCTAGATTGTTCCAATCGTCCCAACATATAATAATTCGTTGGTAGTGTGAGATTTGGGATTTTGTGGAGAGTTTCACCCGATGAGTGAAACTTCTATCTGAGAAGTCGTTGCGCACTGGTGATGATTCCCAATAAGGATGAAACAGCTGTACAGTGCCTGCTCGGCTTTTCAGCACAGATTGGCTTCAATTACAGGACGAAATCTCCACAATATAATAATTCAACGTCTGCTGAACTGCATACAAGAGCTCGCATTAGAGTCATTTCGTAGTAGTACTACGAATAGCCGTCTGGGGTTCCGTTTTTCGCACGTGTACTCGACTGGTACGGACCAGTTGGGCATGCCGCAGTTCACACAATAAATGACCTGGAGTGTTTTTAGTATTCCTGTATATCCAGTGATATCTGTTCGGAGACGAAATGTGTCCACACGGTAAGCTAATTTCAACGTAAATGGAGGTTGAGGTGGATTATTTGGACGGAAGAAGTTATTTTGCACGTATGCAGGAGAAAGACTTTTTGGAATGGTTCTTCGTTGAGGATTTAGCCGAATTAAGTGCAAGCGGTTAAGATACGTTCAGTTGTTTGGTGATAGACTAGGCTTCACTAATTGAATTCAAATATCTGAGTGTGTAAAAAAGAACTAGAGATGGGATGGTTTCCCCAATTGGTATGGAAAGGGTTGAGTAACACTGATGTTCGTGGAAGTAAGGTGACAAACGATACTAGTGATGATGATTCGCGGCGAATGTAATCCAGTCTCAAATACATCTTTCTGAAAGGCTATCGATGTGCGGAGAAGCCGAGAACACGGGGCACATACTGAATAGAGATTAACAAGTAGAAACATCTAAGCGGGGACTGCCATCACGAAATTACGGAAGGCGGTTAAAGCAGAACGGCTCTGCGTAAACACACGCGCGCTAAGATTCGGTGTGTGGCAGGGAAGGATGGGAGGAGGGGGCGGGGACATCGGAGGAAAAAGGACAGTTCTCGTACCAAACTACAGACAACTTCCCCACTTTTACACCACACCCCGTTCGCTAGCATCCATTTTTCCACATCCACTGTAACGCGGAGAGCTGACAAGCGGAGTCAGCACTATGTATTCGGAAATGCATCACCAAATCAAACCACACGTCCCCACGTATAGCGAAGCATGGATTGTCTTTGTGCGTCACTGATATCATAAGCAGCATAGACAAAAAACAGGCCTCTCACAAAGCAACCTGTGAATCACCGACCACGCGGCCGATGGGATGAAAATACAGGCAGTGAACCCCGTGGTGAACAAAAGACGTTGGTAAACAAAACCGAGATGCTTCAGTCAGTGGAAACTCGAGATCAGTGTGGACTGTACACGGCAATAAAACTAAACTACACTCATAGCTGCATTCACGTTCGCCCTGATGAGAACTAGGAAGTAAAAAAAAACATTGCGACGCTCACAAGTCAGTCCGTTTCGAACAATGACCGAACAAGCCAACGACCACCTTCTCCTTCTACCCCCGGTGAGCAGTGGTTAGTGAAATCAGCTCAACTGTATGTATCAACCACAATGACAGTGTCCCGGTGAGACATACTCAGAAACAAAGACTGGGTCAATAATGATCTGGGGTGGGGGGTTACATGGTATCCTGGAACTATCTACAATAAAGACAAGCAATGGACTCAGCTAACCTTCTTCATAAGAGCACTTGCGCACTCGCTTCTGGAACTTTCACTAGTTCGAGAAGAAAGTGAGGTGTGCTGGCAACAGCAGGAAGGCAGTAGTTGCAAACACAAAAAGTCGAGTATCCCCAGAAATATTTCATAGTTGGCACGGGGCAGACATATAAAATTGCTCCCAAACGAGCAAAGCTCTTCGGAATCATGTATTGCACATCGAGGGGGATTTCAGTGGATTACATTCAGGTTGCTAGTTCGAAATGATTCCAACTAGTCAGCCAAACACGTGAACAGGCTACACGGTAACTATTCACAACTCCAGAACACCCTAAAGAAACTGCAATTTGTACTAAGGTATCAAATAGTAGCAAGCAACTGCGCGAGGTTAGGAATGAACTACCCGGTCTAGAATGGGTGTGATTTTCATTAAAAAGAAACCGTTTCGAGTGAACCATGTCGGCAACGTCACTGACGCAAGTATGGATTTAAAAACTGAGGTGGTATCCAGGTGAGACCTGCAAAGGATTCAGTTGTGCTGATGTTCAAAATATTCGAACCAGATTCCATCCTATACCATACTTCTCACCAGTTGACGGTCTTCTACTAACCTCATGCTGCTTGGAGCCCACAAAAGAGACACTCCCCGCATGTCTATCAATCATGCATCCCAATTGAACACCAAACTGTAAATAACTGGGCGTAAGCACGCATGCTTTACATCCACCATGATGTGATTTCTGCCGCAATAGTATGCTACCTAACTTCGGCGCCAATCAGAATTCCAATCACACCTGCGCATTACATCCGATGCCTCAGTAGCGTCACGTATGTCACCAACTGACACTCGCTGTTTTCTCTGATTTCACTGGGGCTACTTCCTCTAGACAGAATAACAAGTCTACGCACGTTTGGACAAATGAGAGTGCTATGGAAGTCTGCGCATATTCTGCTGTAGGATTGAGTGACGCGCAAAATCACAAGCTACGAATTGTGAATTCTTGAGATTTACCAATAAAAGGCAGTACTACATGGGAATACAAACCTGTCTAAATTGCTGCACGAACTATTGCAAGTCCAAAGAAAGCCTTAAATGGTCTCAAAAGTAATGTGGGAACAGCAAACCCGGAGGGTAGGGCACATTGATTTGGATTACCGACAAACATGTGCGCACAACACGTGGTAACGGAAGCGATAAAAGAATGTGTACAACTTTCGCCAAAATTAGCTTCATACGTCAGGGGTCAAAAGTTCACGAGGGATTACGGGTGCATATCGAATATGTGAGGTGGATGCAGGCAAGCGGGTGGTATGATCAACGTAAACGAGATACGTTGTGCTCACTATTCTAAACATTTCTGGCAGTGAAGCTTTTACAGAAAATGGGTAAAATTATTCGCGAAAATAGTGGCGTTCACCTGAATTGCCTTACTTATGAGTAGTGCATTACGAATATATATGTGTCTGTCGTTGATTGCCGAGCTTATGTTCGATGACGTTGGCAAAGGATCATATGTCAAACCTCAATACACTGCTCAGAGGTGTTGCCTTCAACGCTTTTCGAGTTTAAACACCCTGTTGATCGCTCTTTTCAAATGATATCAAGCTTTTTGAACGAATCCTCCGTCCTTCTTTCCTTTTTTTAATCCTTGACCAGGGCAGTTAGGTTGCTGTCGATGGTGATGATGATGACCCTGTCTGATACAATATAGCTGTTTAAACAAACAAATACCTACTGTTCCGAACGATAAGCACGGAGTAGTGAAACGCCCTGGGATAAGTGAGTGTGGGTGACTGGCAAACTAGAAAAATACTGACGGACTTCACAACTGGACTAAAATATTTAACGTATCCATAGAAAGAAATACCAGTATCATATGCAGCACTGAGTTGAGGGCTGAAGACTCAAGTTTGAGGAGGATGACGAGGATTCACTCGCATACACAAACTTACTGTTTTCATCGAACAGTGTGAACACCACATCTACCACATGGGGTGAAAGCTCGATGTTCGCTACGGTCAGCGCAACATGATGCAGCGTCGCCTGGTCAATGGGCACCCCGGCCATATGGTGGAACGTCAAAGCCGTGTCCACATCCGCGATAGAACGGAGAAGCAAGTTGAAGTCTGCGAAATCCCGGTAGCTGATACCCTTGGTTAGAAAACGAATAGAGTAGATGAGTTTGGGCTCGAAGCCAGATGAGGTGGGACAATGGGTTTCCCCATATAGGGATCATCGCATCATCTCAATTCCTTTATTTTTTTTCCCTCTAGACAGACAGGATTCCTATTGTACAATTGTACAAGAATGCTGTAAGAAACCAATGTACGGCACAACATATAATGTAACTTACCACGAACAAGTTTCAATAACACGTGTTCTCTGTTATACTTCCGAAACTCCATAGGAACCAATGGGTGTACAGAAACGTACTTTCATGAGGGAAAGCAGATGACATTGCCACTAATATCCGGCTGTCTGAAAAGGTGTATACCATCATTATCGGGTGACAACTGACGGCGGCTTATCACAGTGACTGGTCATCGAAATCGACCATAGCACCACGGCAGTTAACACTTCGATCTGTGGCATAACACATCTAAATACCTAACTACGCCGTTCTTATAACATGTTTGTCTGGAAACCAACCACTGAAAACTCCATTCGTGCAATTAATGCTGCAACGGACTCGTCTGAACGGGATCCTTGATGGAGTGTACGACAAGAAGCGATGGAACGGTAGTGAGATAAGGGTGCCAGGAGGGTCTGGCATAAGTCTGAACGATGAATCCTTCAGCTGTTGAGCGAAGCTGCACATTTGCGGACCAAGAGACAACAAAATCCAATTGATTCACTTTATCATCTATAAACCGTGTATCAGAGGCACATTGGTTCCAGCATCCGACCACGTGGGAGACTGTGGGACATACAGCCAAACCTTGGATGCGATAGCATGTTTGGTTAGTTCGGGAACTGGGCAGCTATGCAATGGAGGCAATAGCTCTGATGCATGAGCGCCACTGACTGCGCGATTGGGCCATTTCCGCAAGTTGCACTAGCCTTTGGTAAGGTGAGTCTCGGGGGTGCCAATCCAGGAAGGCGGCAGTTGCCGACTCGACACAGTTAAGTGGTTAGTGCTTTCATTCTTCGATGCCAGGTCACAGACTGTCCAACTCTCGGTTGCTTCCACCCAGCACAGGGCTAAGCGAAAAGAGCTCTGGGAGCCAGACAATGATCTGACATGCGCCAACCAGCGAAATCTAAGAACCGCGAGCAGTTCATCAGTCGCGCGATACTTCCTTTTTTGTAGGACCATCTGGCGTAACCTAGCATTACAAATCCAATGTTCCCACCAGACCCGACCAAATGCGTCGCAGACATTGACGATCGAACATAGACACTTTCATACGTGTACTGGGCGTAGAGACGACGACTCTGCTCCATGGTGCAGTACGGATCACACCGCCGCAGTGTAAAAATCTATCATTGAGGGACTGACGTCATGACGGCGCCATGGGTATGGAAGACTGGAAAAAGCTGACCTGGCCTTTCCGATTCGAAAATTCATCTGGGCGAACATCGCGGAAATATTCCCGCTCCAGAGGTTTCAGAGGCAGACAGAGAACTCTCAAGCGTATCAATAAGAAAGTAGAAGAGGAAAGGTGAGAGAGGGCAGCCTGGTCTAACACCATTGGATATGGTGAAATCACGCGAATGCTTGCTGTATACTCGTACGCGCCCACCGGAGTCCGCACACAAAGCTCCCAAAAGGGATGTAAGTTTGGAGAGGACTCCTCTGATCAACAGTCACTGCCAAAGTTTCTCATGACCGACAGCGTCAGAAGTAGCCTTCACATCAAGAAAACGACCACTTGTGACGTATGAAAGAGTGCTGCTGTTCAAGAACTCTCAAGGTAAACATATTTTCGATGCCGCCTGGGCCAAGCGAAAATCCAGTTTGAATCTCACGAATCTGTCTCCCTCGATAATCGACCAACCTGCGCAAAATAATGTCTGAGAGAATCTCAGATGCGACGGATACCAGGCTGATGCCACGATAGTTTTTGATGAAGATCTTGTGCTTTTTTTAAAGACTGGGATGACGGTCGAGCTCTATTCGGCTGGTTATCTGTTTTCGTTCAAAATCTCCTGATGTATGGTGGTCAGGCTGTTCGCCAGGACATCACTACTCTAATTCAGAGGGTGCGAGTTGCAGACCATCCGGACCAGGCGCCCCTTCGAGTTAAAGGACTGAGGTCACGTGCTGACAGGGGATTGGTGTCGACGCTGCATCCGGATCCATTGAGGTCTCCCAGCAGGTGTGCTCAAGTAGACCAACCAAACTGTTATTCAAAGTGGTCAGCCCATTACGACTATTCTGTGAGTGAATTGGCGTTCCGTCATTTTCGCATGCTGCTTCGCGGACAGCTGCGGCAGTTGCCTGCAGCGAAGCCCTTCTCCACCTCTCGAGTCTTCGCAATCAACCAGCGGTCTCTACCGTTCTTCAACTTCCTGAAAATGCGGTGTTTGGGGGATGTTCGTGCGCCATCACAGTCGAGAGTTGCTGGTGTGCTCTTTTTGACAGCAAGATGACCTGCTGATCTCGACGATATCCAGTGTTAATTTAGTCAGGTCGGATGGTTTGAACAGACAATCCTGGGAGCATAGCTTGCTTGACCCGCTTCCGTTCTATCCCCAAGTAATCTTGGTCACCCGCATGACTATGCGTTTCCAGTCGCTTTCTAGCCAGGTCAGCTTGATAAGCTTGAGCTACTGAAACTTCTCCAGGTTTATGAATGGAACTGTTCCGCTTTGGCAAGCGTAATGCTGACGGAAAGCGGAGTTACACAAAGGTATGATCGGGATCAAGTTGCATACCCCAGAAGGAACGACAATCTTTTCTTGAGACTATCTATCGGTAACTAATAGCCATATGGTCCAGCTGAGCCCATGAGTGTCTTGCGTTTAGGATAGTCCAGGTAATTGGACTTGGGCGTTTGTGTCGGAAGTTTGCGGTGGCCAGGAACAGATGGTGATCAGCAGGCAACTGAAGCAGTCGCTCCGAATTATCCGTACGCTGAGCATCAACTCGAAATCCACTACTGAATTGCGCTTCCAGACTGAATCGCCCAACTTGGGCATTCATATCACCCATCAGGATTACTATATCCGTCCTTGATGACCGAAGCAGTGATGACATCTTAATAAAACTCGTCCTTCCCAGTCTCAGAACAGATAAACAACGTTTACCGCATCGATCTGTATTGATTTTGATTGAGCCAGACAATAGCAGAGTGCAATGACGACTGTTCACTGTGACCCAGTTCAATAAGACGTTTTCAGCCTTGGGGGGTCGAGTGTAAATCCCACACGGTAGATACGACGACCCACAGCGTCAGGATCGATATATACCCGAATAGTGAAACGTAGAACATTTGAGCTGGTTCTGATAGGCTTGAGGTGAAGTCTTGTGAGCGTGTTTGGGAGACAGCATAAAAATCGTTCATAAAAAGTACCGTTTCGGTACCTAGCTGCCATGCCACCCGAAGGAAGCACGAGGGCTAGGACACTGCCAGGTTGCCCAAGCCTAGAGAAGTCAAGATGCAGAGGCTAGGTTATGGATAGGGACCCAAACTTGAGCTCCCTCACAAGGTAGTGGGAGGATGTGGGGTTTTGTTTGAGGGCCCTACTTCTAGTCTCTGGCTCAAAAGCCTAAACCGGGAGCCAGCGGTTGTTAGGGTTTTCTTGAGGGACGCTTCCCGAAACTAACAACGCAACAGTCTGGCCCACTTGGCTGTACGAAGGAGGCTTGGCAGGGGGGCGCCGACAGTCTCACTCCCAATGCGGCTGCGTACAGGTGTCATTTGAACAGCACCGGAATCTTTGGTTTCGAAAGTACTTCGACCGTATTGAATAGAACGCCGGCGGTCACGGTCATGCAATGGGTGATCGGAGTGTGCGGTTTTTAGGGCCGACCTTTTCTAATCCATCCTTCCTGGGAAGAAGGCAGCATCGCTATTTCCATAAGTATGGACATGCTAGAGACCTGAGGAAAACTCTTTAAAGGCTTAACACTCCTTTCACAGAGAACAAGGCGAATTTACTTTACACCGCCTCGTAAGACCAATTCTCACGGTAAAAGGACTCATCGTTCTCCATCGAGCTCCTTACCTTTGAACTTCTTCATATGGTCAAACCTTCGAGAATAGAGTTCCAGTCATTATAGACCGCAAGGTCTTTGCAGCACTAAAGCGCCACCACTAGGACAAGATGACAGTTTTGGGTAAGGAAGGGACAACACACAAAATTTATTAGCTTGCTACTCTGCGCAATGTCCCGCACAAGCAGACACAGCCATTCATCAAAATCAACCGACTATTTTCACTTATTGTCATCATTGAATGTCTCTCGAACAGAGACGAACTGTCGTCACTAGCTGTGGCGGTGTGAAAGCTGAGTCGCTCACATTGCATGCAGTTGCGTTTGCTAACTATCACGATTTTTCGCCGGAATGAGTTTGCTTCTGGGGCGCTGCGAATTGGCGCCGCCGTGTTGGTGCAATATTTGCGCACCTAAGGACAAATAGCTCAAGTTGTCCATACTCATACTCTGTCTAAGTAGCTCCCAGTTTGAGTTCTGCTTTGACTTTCACAGGCAGACAGAATACTTTGCTTGACGTGGGTATTTTTGCACAGTTAATACATCTAGATTCTCAACTTCACGATTACCCTTCATAGGAGTTTAACAGTTAAACGCAGATGTAGTGACCACCTGTGGATACCGATATTCTCCAAGTTGTTCTCGATCAAAGCAGGGATCGCAAGTTTGTTTCGATCAGTGTAAACACACTTGCTGTTCGATGCGTTGATGCTGCGTCGGAGAAAACCACTCTAGGTCCAAGAGAGGAAAATGAGCAGTATCACTGCGACCACCTGCATTATCATTTTCTCTTTACGTTCGGATAAGTAGCATGAGGTAAGCCGGGGGTGCTCGGTTTAGGAAACCTGATGATGTGGACTGACCACCGTAAACACACTACTCGTAAATATCATAGGTGTTGTTGGACCCGACTGGGAGTAACAAGCACGACAAGATGAACAAGACCGGAAGACAAACGTTGGGCTACTCATTTTGGGGTCTGAGTTCATGATACAGTGATTCCTAGTAAAGACCCTTGTTAACAAGGCTAGTGCGAGCCTTCTGAACCACCGGGGGCGGTTTGTATAACCTTATATCTTTCTAATGCAATTTGAAAACGCTTCAGTCGGTGATAATCACAGTGAAGCGGTTAAATCACGCCTCCTTTGTATGCCTACGATTCTCATTGGTTGTTCCGGAAATTTTTATTTCCTTTTTCTCACCAACTTTGTCGGGTTGGTAAAAAAATAACCTGCTCCGAGTGCTTCAAGCACCACAAACGAAATCGTTCAACTCGTCCGGTGATCAAAAGGTTGCCGGTTCTACAGTTAACTTGTAAATTTGTTTGCATATCATTGAACCCAAAACTATGGTCACGTTCAGTTAGAATAGCACCTGTCCAGTGTCCCAAGTTTAAGCTTGCGTGTAGTGCACAGAGCGCATAGTGTTGAGGGTTTCACTAATCCGAAAAACTGCGATGATAACTAGCTTTTTGTTCCACTGGAAAACAAGGTGAAGTTACTGAATTGGATTAGAGAGGCGAACCTGTAGGAAATCCGCAAAACCCGTTCTAGATCCCAACAGGACAAAAGACCTCATCGGACTCAACGATGAGAAAGGGATAATTTTAAATAAGGCGATATAATGGACAACCAGACAGTTACACAGCAATTTAGCTTTCTAACGGTGGAACCGATTGCATCCCAGTTGAATTTCTCGGTTGTGCATTCTTCAGCTTAATATTCTGCACAAAGGCCGCCTCATATCTCATTCGGTACGATTTTTGAGACATTGCAGTATAATTTCTTTACAGGGTGGGTTGTTGAGTGGCCACACTGGTGTGAAAATGAGTGCTGTTGTCAAATTTCGTTCAATCCGGTTTACATTCGAACATAAAACTGACGGACACCTAGGGACTGCGCCCGCTTGGTGGGCTACAAGAGGGGCGAAACCAGTCGTGGGCTGTAGAAGAATTTTCAGTAACCGTATGGGTAGTTTCCTCCAAGATGGTCTAGTGTCGACTGAACGTACTGACGGGGCACTGCTGATATCTGAGCAATGACGTCTACAATGAGACTACGTCGATTGGTAGACTCGTTGAGTGAGACAAAGAACACCCTGCGACAAATGCATGCGAATGGCTACACATTTATGAACGAAGAGCTAAGCCCTACAGCATAATGAAAAAATCAGCCAAAATAATACAACACAAATAGTAACCAGTTCTTACAGAACTCTGTTCCTCCACACTAAAAAATGAGGACGCTTTTGTCGTTCTTGAAACGGACGAGTGCCGGAATGCGTTGACAGTTAGGATGACATTCACGAAAATATCCGGACAAGCAATTAACCTCTAGATATAACCAAATGCGGAATTGATAAGCCCGTCCCAACCATGTGTAACGTAGAGAGATACGGTGGAATCACAATTATATGATGATACAGAGTCGTGTTGTTTCCAAAATTTGGAAAAGTGACTCACCGAATCGCAGAATTCTACATTCTAGAGTGAAAATGGGTCGTACATGTGATGGGATGGTGCGAAATGGATGGGAACTACTACCATCACACGATAGGCTGAAACCAGTTGAAATACCTATATTTACAGTCGTGAATTCACTCCACAAGGAGTTACCGGGACGGTGAATGAACGCCCTAACTATTCAACAGGTTTTGTTGCACACTTGAGTAGTCTATGGGAGGGAATGATGTATTCTAATCAAGATTGATGCTAATTGAAATTTGGTGACTTTGTGGACAGGCCAACAGTGTGGATGCGGACCAAAATTAGACCAACAAGGAAAAATAGTAGCGCTAATGACTACTATGATTACCACTGCTACAATACTATCGGTTATTTTTGAGGGGCATGGTTTCAAACATAAAAAGTAAATGCAAGCGATGAATGTGGAAGGGTTCCAGGAGAATATTAGACAAAAAAAGAGAAGCGTCTCATTGGGAGTCATGCCACCAACAGTTCCAGTCAGACAAGAAGAATCCCAACGTATGTGAGGATTTTGGTATGGAAACACGCGTGTAAAGACCGACAACCGAGGAATGCTCTTCAAGGCGTGCGAAGCGCTAGCACACTCAAAACTCGCACATCAGGCACGAATTGTCCGTCATACTGGGTCTGGTGTGATATTCAACGGCAAGAATGTAAACTCAACGGCACGTATCACGCATAAAAGTGTCACAAGTACGCGGAGATATTTTTGAGGGCATGGTTTCAAACATAAAAAGTAAATGCAAGCGATGAATGTGGAAGGGTTCCAGGAGAATATTAGACAAAAAAAGAGAAGCGTCTCATTGGGAGTCATGCCACCAACAGTTCCAGTCAGACAAGAAGAATCCCAACGTATGTGAGGATTTTGGTATGGAAACACGCGTGTAAAGACCGACAACCGAGGAATGCTCTTCAAGGCGTGCGAAGCGCTAGCACACTCAAAACTCGCACATCAGGCACGAATTGTCCGTCATACTGGGTCTGGTGTGATATTCAACGGCAAGAATGTAAACTCAACGGCACGTATCACGCATAAAAGTGTCACAAGTACGCGGAGAGCCCACAATGGCAAGAAATCATAAGAAATCACCGACTGTGACCTTGTGAAAGTCCCGGTCCAATACCACCCTTGGCGGGTTGAAGAAAGCAGATCCTTCGACAAGAGATGATAATCGGTTGGTGGACCAAAAAGTCTACATCACAACCAACTGCACGTAGGGCTGAGATTACGGCGAGGGAATATTCGTCAGCACCATACTTCTGCCTCTTCTCATTCCACACAGTCACTCTACGCCCAACGGAGACTATGCTGGCGTCTATTACAGTTACACGGCGATCTCGAACAGCGATCCATCCGAGACTACCGCTACTACGCAACTAACTCAATCGTAAGGTTTGCTTTTGTTATTGTTATTGTTGTGAAATTCGGAAGCTAAATATAGGGTTCAAACACTTGGGCCGGCGGTAGGTCCGTTGAAAACAAGACTAACCGTCTCATTCAACTCGTTGAGAGCGTGAGCATCCAGCACAACGGAGGAGTTTGTGAAGGCGATGTGTTTTGGACAACTACAAAAGCGGTGCACTGAAAAGCGTTTGCACAATTCATTGGAAAAAACAGTGAAAAAACTTTTATTCACCAGTGGAAGAAAGTAACACATTTTCTCATCACTAAAGTGAAGTCATGGGGAGGCGAATTACTTGAAAAATGGTGAGTTCAACAGCACAGCTATGTAAAACGAAACAAGTCAGGCTGTTTTTTAATCCAACCCCGCACCAGACCTATACGGAACATGTGAGATTGACAAAGGCCAAACCGACTTGTTTATTATTTCAGCTCCATAACTGGGAGAACGCGGTCAAATAGGACAGATGTTCGACTGTGGTTCAGTTGATCCACAACAGTTACTTTATCTGTACATAAGAAGAATCACGAGAAACAGGGTATTGATTTCCCTAAAATAACACCTCCGTAACACGAAAAAAGTCTTAGTTTTTCGAAGCCGTAATAAATGTTTCTTGTGGCATTTAAGTTATTCTGATCACGTAGATACAGCATGAAGCAGCATATCGACCCATGAGGAATATCCCCATTGTTATCGTTTGAAGGAGAGGGTATGGCGACACTGAGTTATTCAGCTATAACATTTTTTCGGTTCCTAGCTGTCATGCCACCCGAAGGAAGCACGAGGGCGCGAATACTTTCAGGTTGCTCAAGCCTAGACAATAGAATTGAAGTCGGCTTCGAACCACAAACCTTCCGGTCAGTAAATTTGAGTTCTAACCGCTAAGCCCACCTGTGTTAGTCAGATCTCTGCGAGTTCCGAACGGACACCTCCCAGTATAGCTCAATGGGTCGCCGAGTTACACAGACCGTCACACCACGGTAAGGTGTAGTTTCTTCGCAACAGCCTTGTTATGAACGGAGTGAAATAGTGTCCCTGTGGTCATTTGTTTCACACCAACTTGTAGAGCGTTTAGAGGTGCAGAAATTTTTCTCGAAAAGCTATCATCAATCCTTTTGTTCATACTTTTTTTTCTGATAGGGCTTTGTCTGGCGGTGGGTCTGCTGCCACCCGACCGTGTGCACAATAATGCGCACTTGGTCCCAGGTTGCAAAAAAATCACTAGTATCCTCCGAGCTGACCGAAAATCTTGGCGGAAGGTGTTGCGTTATTGTTGGCCTCCTGGAACCTATGTACTACGAACTAAATCCACTTTTTCTACCTGGCCTCTTGCGCCGGGTCCTCTCACAGAATCACGGGTTAAAAAATGGATCGTGAAACCTAACCGATACAATATATTAGATCAAGGTAATCTGTCGTCGGTGATTTCCAGAGATGGTGTTGACGTGTCATTACTGCGGTTAACATCTTCATTCCACAAGACCCGACGAGACAAAGTTCTCTCAACTCCGGTGAATCAATTATCACCCAGCTAGTTGGAAAGCAAGTCCGACACGATTGTCACAATCAAAGAGAGATCAGTCTTGTACCAATTGCGTCAGAATTTCTAGCTTCAGTTGTTCATCGTACTCCAAGTTTCTGAAAGCCGTTGTTTGGACTGTATTGTCCGTATCTGACGGGAGCGCAATGTAAGCAGCGAGGAGGCCCGAGAAGTTCTAGGTTCAGTTTTACAGAGAATAACTGCACTTTGCCGATTAGGGTGAATGTATGCATGTGTGAATGACTCACTTCTGTGTCTTCCGATTTGGAAAACTTCTGCTTGACACTACGGATCATTTTGCGCCGACGCTGCTCAGAAAACCCTGCATAGGTGAGCAGGAAATTCGCGAACTGAACCTCGGTAATCTTTCCATCCACGGGCGAAGCGCGATCAAACTGACAGGGAAGCAAGGTGAAATTATAGGAAGGCTAGAGACGCGTGCAAATTAGTGGAGCCTAAACACCACGCTTGTTACTGAAAGTGAAAAGTTTCCGAAATGGAATTCCATCGTCAAAAAGTGCATGTCATCTAATCAAATAGTAATGTCTAACACAATGTTAGCTGCATCTATAGATGATCACACCATTCTTTCGGGGTGAAGGAGATAGCATCGAATCAAACTCAAAGCGGCTTAAAAATGGCTCTCAAATGGTTATGTAGCAAACATCCCTTATTGAACTTAAAAGCACTCGGTAAATCCGGTCAATCTGCTACTATCCGAATTCCGGAAAGGAAAGCCCCATAATCGACCATGACGCGAGCATCTGATAAGCAAATTGACTAGCAAAAAACATTGGTCGCCATCACGCGAAGGTGAGCATATTTCGGGTAATCGTGGGAACAGCAACTTTTCGATAAGTGGGATATAAAATCTCCGGAGGGACAGCTTTGTCATACTTTTGTCGAACCGTTGCGGTCCGTCCGATTCAATTGTCGAACAGCTAGCTTCCGGTAGAGTTTGATCAAAGACTGTTTTACGTTGTGGTTTGTCTTCCAACAACTTGAATGGAAGGACGAGCGCAACGAACCAATTGAACTCAAGAAAATCAAACTATAACAAAACGCAAATCTGGAACGAGCCAACCAAGGGGCAGGAGAACCGAATAACTAATTACGCCAGATGAAGACCACAACGCAACACAGCTTCTGAACAGACCACTCAGAGTTGTAAGAAAAGATACCGGAAGCAAGCCAATCGAACACACGGAGTACGGGCCGCAGTGCAGCACAAACCGTAAATAGACCAAATAAAATAGGATAAAGCTGTCCCTCAGTCATCCAGAGATATCGAATACTCTCAGACAACAGTCGCGAAGAGGTGAGAAGGAAGCACCCACCCAACATCGGAATGATGTCCCCACGGCTGGTGATAAAACGTATACAAGCAAACGAACAAGCCGGACGAATAGGTCTACAGCCACAATATCTACGATTCGATAAATTAATTTGTGCATGAGTGTCCTTAATGATTCTCTTATTTACTTTACCACGTCTAAATAAATGAGGGATCGATTGTACGTGCTTATCGCAGTTATTTTGTCCCCCTTCTGAGGAATTCACTTGCAGCTAAAAGTCCTTTATAAAGATCACTTTTTCTAGAGGCACCGGGCTAAAACCTCTTTGTTTAGAGGGTTAAGACTCGACTGGACTGGACTGTGGGAAATGGCTATGTGAACGAATAACACAGTCCAGCGTCTCATCAACAAAGCAGTAGTCAAAGCTGTTTTAAACGACATTCTACAAGGTTCTGGTTGTCTCTTTTGCATTGGTTTTCTCTAACTGTGCTTCACCGATTTACAAGAATTAAGATAAATCAAACAAATATGTCTGAGTGGAAGTAAATCCGAGTTCCAGTGAAACATGAAACCTTATTTCCATTGCAACGTATCGGATGAGTGTAATACTCCGCTTCATGTGCGTTGCGTGCCGTACCACAAAAAATCTAGAGGCTTAAGTCTATGTGGACACGTCACATCATCAGGGCAGCAAAATATATTGACTTTTACTTACTCCTCAAATCATACATAAATAGTGGCCAGCTGATGATCACTTGAAAGACTATCTTTGAAAATTACGCCAGCGGATAACCCTATCTACGCGAGAATGCCAAGTCGACAGATCGCAACTGCGATAAACCGTACGACGAATAACTGCAATACAAGGCGACCTGGAGATAAAGTCGTACTGCCCTCTGTGATAGGACTGTGGATCTAGCAAGAGATCTTCCTCAGGCGACCTGTAAGTTCATTTTAACGAAGCAGCGATGCTGTTTTTTCGAAGGAAACTAGGCTAGAAAAGACCGACCGGTTCTAAAAGTCACACACTCCGATCGCGCGACGGTCGACTCTGACCGCCAATAAATTGCCAGATGCGACCGAAATATGACTAAAAATTATCAGCGGCCTGATGCGGCTTAAAATGTATCTGCTGAGCTCAGGAAATCCAGGAGTCATAGAGTTATGCTTTGCTCCCTGGCTAGGCCAATCCTCTGGAAGCCAAACACGTCAAACAACTGACTTATTCGCTCCATAAAGGGCCATCCAAGAAAACCATAATAATCACTAGATTACAGGTTAGACTTTTGAGTCGTAGGTTAGTGGAAGGGTCCTTGAACATTAAAACTAGCCCTCCTGTCACTTTTGTGGGTAGAATTGTTGAGTCATAGGCTAAAGGTAAGGAACTTCTAAATAACCCGGTTCTTCGACATGGACGGGCGGGAAACATTAGTCAGCTTTGCAGTTCTTCGATCCCTGGTCGTCATCCGCGCTCCATCTTCTTAAACCGGTCCGGTACGGGGACTTTAAAGTCCCCTAACAATCATTGTTTCTAAAATATCGCCCAGTGGAATTAACCACAACAATCCCTTACTAAACCCAATCTGATCCACAGTGTAGCTCTTAATGCCTGTCAAATCTGTCAAATTGGACAACAGACATCTCTTACAGAAAGTTTGCTCTCGCTTTACGTCGATGTGTGCTTTACCTCCGAAAAATGACCTTACTCGTGTCATGCACCTAGGATAAGCTTAGATATTCCACGGCTCACTGGTCCGGTATCTGACGATCGTCATGCAGTGGTCTATAGAGCATATGGCCAGTGAGTCTCATGGTTAAAAGGGCTTCAGTGGAACGGATTCCAGTAAAAATTAGTCTTAGAAACGTACGGTTGTCTGGTGCAGTTGAAAGTGATAAATGGTGTGTTTTTGTTATTAGTATATGTCCTGACCGTTTGCAGCTGGTATGACTGAAGGTTGGTAAAAAAAGCAGTGACACTTATGATGGAGAGGTGTAGGAAAATGACTGGAAGTTAGTCAGGAAAGCTATACCCTCCAAGCGTTTGGGACTGTGAATCCAAGTCGCCCGACTTGACCAAATGAGTGCTGGATTTCGTCGAGGTCACCAAGTCTTACTGAGTCCATAAAAACCATACTAACAACATCGACTACGATGGTGCGCAGAACTCTCAAAGGCTCGATAAGCAAGAGGCTGAAGAATAACACAGAAGCCTGGCAGAGTGCAAGTGCCTAGGAGGCAACATTAGGCAACAGCCGCGCCCCACTTAATCTGATTCGTTTAACATGCTAGTTTGGATTTCCTGGCATCGATCATGGATAGCGATCTCGTCGGCATCCAGTGGTCTTGTGGTCGAATTAGAGAGGTCGGACAGACAGCACTGAACGCCACTAACATAGCTCCTTTCACATTTTGCCACTGAGTGGTTGGCGGACATTTGTGAATTCCAAATCCATATTGAAAACAATATTATTAGGGGAACCAGTTCAGAGCGTAACTGGACCACACAACTGCCACTGAAATAGCCATTTTCGTTGGGACAGAGTTAGTTGTTTGTCCTTCACTTTTCCTTGACGTATGAGTGCTATTTTTACTATCACTTTTTGGCCAGCTTAGAACTTTCCACGTGAGCTTTAAAAACAGCCCGTTTCCGGCTGTACATGACGCCTGTACGCATCGGTGTTCAACAGATCAGCTGGTTCGCACGATCACTGGCTTTCTGGCTTGGCTAAACACATCAGACTATCAAGCGGCTATCCAGACTCGGGTTCATGGTATTAAGAAGGCATTATGGAAACTGCGCTCCGCGACGAATATGGTTTTCATAAGTACTACCATCGACGTTTCCAACTCAACCCGACGCGGGATTAAGGTGCCCCGTGATGCTGTTTGAAACAGCTGTCTTCAGTGGAGTCAACACTGTTACCGGACGATTTTCTACATCAGAGAGCTGTTCAATTGAGCACCAGGGAGCGGTCGCACCCTACGGAGTGTTACGGGACACTGAAGCAAAAGGTGGTATATGCATTGTGATAAGAGTTGATCGCACTACCTGCCAAGGAAGCAGGAAATCCTCAGGAGTTAACAGAACCAATCCAGGCCATTATCATCAACGTCGCAAGAGAAAAGTAGACTCCAGCGACTAAAGTCGCTATCTTTATTTCGTTAACAATCACAATAAGATTCCTGGTGAAGCCGGTATTTCACTAAAAATGATATGGATACGGCGCGACGGAATGTCGCCGAAAGTGAATGGATTGTTCATTTCGTTGAGCAGGCGGGTGTTGCACGTCTATATTCAATTTTTCTTCAGTGTAGTTGGACGCCATCCCAAGAGAAATGTCACCGATATGTAGTGAATCACTTAGTTCTAGGTTCCGTGGCGAAATATGAAGTGATCATATATCTCAGACGATCCGCAGTACAAGGCTGCAAAAATCGTGTAGAGCGGAGGGTCTTGTTTAACATGATGATTTCGAAGTTTACGAAACCATATAGTTCAAAAACTCACTCATGTTCAATGGCACCAGGCTGGTAGATCAGTATCGACCGAAATGTGCGCGCGAAGTAAACCAGACTAACCGATTAGCCTGTCATGAGAATCTTAATCCACGATTATTGATTTACATGACCTAAATTGTTCAATCCACCCACTTCAACCATAGTTAAGTCTAAATGGACTGTGCAGCTGATGAGATCCACAGGGTGTTAAAAATAGTCGTAGCAACTATGATGAGCATGAGCCAGTCAGCGCAACTTGTTTAACTGCAAGCGCAACTTGCATCACTGTCTCCAGGACGGTTGAAAAGCTGAGCTGATCTGATGTTTTTGAAAAAATAGCATGTATATTTATGGGCGCTATCAGAATCACTTACTTGAGGCGATGAGAAAGTTTTATAATACCGGCACATAAACCCAACAGAATATAAGCCCATCAGAATACGATAAACTGGGTTGTCAGATGGATGTCTGCTTGTCAAACGTATATCGTGAAAGCTAAGTGATTCAGGTACCAAGCACTGACCGAGAAATTCGTGGTTTGACCCAACCCTGACCTTTTACTCACTATCGACTGTGCTCAGTGTCCCTGTCTTTGTGTTGCGTAGCAGCCATGCACCAACGGAGTTTTGCGGATAAACATCGCTAACCGTGTTGTTCACAGGACCGCCAATCAATCCGATGAAATCCAGTGAAGTCTCAGGTTATTCACATCACAAAAACCCAGGGATTATCGTGTTCACTTATGGGACAGGCGCAAAATCCTTATCTCTAGTGAGCTGCAGGTATTGTATTCCATCACTCCGCACCGTCTTCCAACAATATTCATTCCTGAAGTGGACTGACTTGTTAGGAATCAAGAAACTGTGCGTCACCACAGTAAATCCACTTGCGTACTAGTGTCGAGGAACGCATTTCAGGCATATCGGGTTACAATAGCGATCGACAGCATCAACCACGTGAGGCAAGACGTGATAATTCCGTTGCTAGTGTCATAAAATCTTTGAAGAACATACTCCGATTCGCATGGTCACTTGTGTTTGAAGTTCACACCCCTCAGTTAACAGGCGAAACGCGCTATCAGAAAAAGCAGACACCGATGGCAGTAGGACAACGGCTCTCTTTCCGGCTCCTGCTGGTTTCGGCTTGGTTTTTTAAAAACAATGGGGTACAAAGACGGGGAAAAATGACGGTATGATGAAACTAGCGGATAGTGTCAATTCATACCGGTTATCGAGATCGTAAGTGAAACACAAAGCCAGTTCCGGTTGTAGACTTGTTGGTCTTTGCGGAGGCAGAAAACGTATTTTTTTCAAAAAAAAACCAGAAACGTATTTTTTTTTTCAAAAAAAAAACACGCGACCAGGAAAGGGAAACTGTGAGCCAAGTAGGAATAATTAATGAGACCGAATTGTAAACGTGAAACAGTCTACTGCAACTTACCTCTAAACGAGTGATTTCTTCTTGTAGTTGGGCGTGAAAATCCAGGAACTTTTTTATAGTTAATTTTTGGTCGCCTTCGGGACCGAAGAAATACTGTTGCAATGCACTGTTGGAACGCTTTTTAAGTGTGCTCCCCGTGGTCGAATGGTCTCGATGACGTCGTCCCATCGCCGTCGTATCCATTATAACCGAACGAACCTGATAGACAAGTCAACGGTGGATGGGAAGTAATGAACACTTCACGCGATTGAGTACAACCTCAATAAAGTTTGCTTTCATGAGACAGACTGATAGCCACTTTGGCAAATACACGAATGGGCTCATTTATTCCATATGGTATACGAACCCATCAACCATCATAGCTGAGGGGGGCCTGAGAGAGCGTTTTGGATTGAATTGACCAACACTCCGCGCTAAAGTCGACTGAGTACTGAGACTCAAATACACTGTCGTGGTCTAGCCCTCCATCTACTGGGAGATTTAAAACTAGAAAACGTTTAGCCCATACTAAAGTAATCTGGAGTACTGTAAAAAAAAACATCAGTATTAGGCGACTCATGTCTGTTGAGGAAGCGAAAACCCTATTTCAGAAATATCTCCCGTTGATCGGAACTTATTCACTCAACTTATTTCACTCACCTGTACACCGTGTGTTTAAGTGCAACATTCGTCACAGATTTACAGGCCGACTACCAGACTAATACAAGAGACGTACGACGTAGCGATTCACTGAAAGAATCTAATTGTATCTGGTTCAAAACCTCCAACAGTAGCAGCCTAATAACTATTGTAGATGAAACATTGGTAATCAATTCAAATTATGTCAAGTTTCCGGACAACCACCACACTTGTGATGGAATCCTCCGTACAAGCAACCACCAAGCATGGTACATCGTCCGGTCCATTTAAATCTATGGTCAAAATGGCCCGTCACAAGTTATGCGACACTTTAATATTTGCCATGAGTCAGGCAAATCGATCACGTGACATGGTCACATATTGGAACGAGGTTATTTAGGTTCATGCAGCATGTACTCGTAGAGTAGTGAGTAAACGGCCGACTCGCAAGTACGAAGTTCAGGTAACAGCACAACCGAGGAACTCGAGTTCAGGTTGCCCCTGTTTTGGTGCACACTAATCAGAATAACTGTGCCTTCATTCGAACGAAAGAAGGCCTTTTTTATTCGTCAGCAAGACAACACGCAGTTTCGAAGAAAAATTCACATGACGAGTGAACCTTCCATTACAGAATTCATCAGTTGAGGTGGCAGTCATCCCGAGATAAAGTGATGTGGGTGGCGCAATACTCTGTCTAAAAGCGAGTTAGTCTCACTGCTGATCAGCCGCTCAAGGCCAAACGATAGGAGTCCAAACTACGAGCTGGGAGGTCACAAGTTCCAAACTCCCTACAGCCTGGTGAGATGCGCATTGTTGATAATACCCAATAAGGATGAAACAGCTATTTGGTGCTTCCGGTATAGATTGAACTCACTCCGATTGAGGAAACGTCACTGAGGATTGGAAAGCTGTTAAATGGCGTGAACCAATTGAACCCTAGTCCTTGGAACCCTGACAATTGATATCAGTAGGATATCAGCCGTCTAATGCATGCTTGAGAGATAAACCGTAAGATCTGCTAGGGTTCCCCTGAATGATGACTTCGATGGATAGGTGAGAGATTAGTCCTTCGCTTCCAAAAAGATTCTGCTGCACAAGCAAACTGGTTCAGTAATTGAAGTGTGTACCACTCCAAAAATATTATGCACACGTCAAACAATATCGGGTAATAAATGTATGAGGTCCAGCAGGACGTAGCGACGAAATCATAACAGCTAACTGAAATGTGTTGAAAACTCGTTTGAACCCTGTAGAAACGGACCCACTTTTTATTTTCACTGGATTGGAATCGTTGTCTTTGAAAAACGTGCACGAAAAACGACAAGGATCTGGTGTGATGTTGCGATGGTAGTTGATAAATACTGGCTATTTCAAACACGACACCAACTGATACATTGCTTACGAGGCAGACGAGGTCAAAACGGCCCAGTGGTAAAGGCGAGTATTAACTGACCCAACCCGTATATCTCAACTGCTCCTGTCTAGGCTTGGGCAACCAAGCGCTATTTCAGCCCTCGTCCTTCCACCGGAAGGTATGGCAGCTAGGCACCGAAAGGATGCTACAGCTAAACGATTTCGATCTACAAGGTGAACCAAAACATTTGGATAATCAGAAAAATTTTCTGCGCCTGCTTAAACGGTGGAACAACCAACTTGAAAAATAAGAAAATAAGATAACCCTTCAGCTGTAACACCTTCTTGGTGACCAGCTCCCATTCCAACGGAAAGAGGCACGACGGCTAGGATACTGCCAGGTTGTCCAAGCCTAGACAGGAGTCGTCGAGGTACTGAAGTTACGTTCGAAACACGGACCATTCGGATAGTAAATCATTACCTAAACGACTGAGCTACCTCGAGCTCCGAATTTGTATGAGATTCCTCTGCTGTTGAGTAAGAAGAGCGAACACTCTCCGGGTTTGGACACAAACGTTCAAAACTATTGTAAACTAATATGACCTGCAGCATGGAACCAAATTGCTCAAATACATCACCGATCGCTAAAACCACGCAAGTTCGGCCATAAACACAAGCGCACCGAAGTCGTTTCCAATTCAGCAAGATTTTAATTCCTGACTGAATGAGTTGGTCTTTCACAATCTAGAGAAGACCCCGAATAGTCCCCCAACGGTTAGTTGAAAATGCTTCTCGGTGCTGAGGGACTTAGCTTCTTCTCTGGGATGTATGTTCTACATAACCCCCCCCCCAGAAAGTACTGTAAAAAATAAAGGGCACATCCATGACTGGATCAGTGAACCATGAAGTGATCCAGGATCAGCAGGTTGGTGCAGATGAGCGATGTACCGATTACTATTTCCAGCTGATGGAGCTCTTAAATCCCTTTGGTTTGGTTGGTTGACAAAAGCTGCAAAACAGCCAACTACCAGTTCCGCTCTTTTGGGTTCAACAGGTAAACCTGGTCCCCGAATTTCCATCAACCTTACGGGCAACGTCATAGCAGGGCGAATATTTTGCTGCCTTAAAAATCGTCCCACCTGAAACTTGGGACTGAGTAGCAAGACCAGTTGAAGGATATTACAAACGAGGGGTTCAGTTTGGTTTTTCTCATTACTGGCAAGAAGGTCCGCGGTTCGAACCCGACCTCTGCCTCCCGACTTCCCCTGTCTAGGCTTGGCCAACCTGGCAGTATCCCGGCATTCGTGCTTCCTTCAGGTGGCCTGGCAGCTAGGCATCGAAAGGGTGTTACAGCTCAAGGGTTAGCTATTGATTTAATTTTATCTCATTAACACTATCCTGACTGAATGATCAACTCCAAACCCAACACTACTAACAATATAGCTGAACAAGTTTCAGCCTGGGGCCAGTCACCGGATCTCATCAACTTTGGTCAACTCTTCTGGGTTACGTTAACTGCACATGCTACATCGGATTACGAGACCGCATGTATGACCAGGCGAGACTAGGGAAATAAGGGAATAAAATAGAGTAGATTCAAGCCAGGATTAGCCTTCAAACTGGAAGTGGTCATAAGGAAACTCAATCAACGTGTGAATTAGAATATGGTATATGTTACGGATAGCTAGTCGGATGAACAATGGGATGAACTAGGTCTACGACAAATAGCATAGACAATAGGAAGAATTCCTCGCTAATTCATTATTCATGCTGTTCACAAGGCACACCCGTCCCAGTTATCTTCCCCGGGCGACTAAAGGAAACACACTGGTAATTTAGGATATAGGTCTTACAGACCGAGGCTTGGTGATATGACGGTTAAGGTAACACCCTTTCCGCGCCTAGCAGCCACGCCACCCGAAAAAAAGCACGAGGATTGGGATACTGCCAAGCCTAGACAGGGGAAATCGAGATGCAGAGGTCGGGTTCGGACCAGAATCTTCCGGTCAGTAAATTCATGCCCTAACCACTGAGCCAACTCACCCGCGAACTTTCAAGGCAAATTTGACCCAACTTTTTTCATCATTCTACCGAATTCAGACAATGGAGTGAATGAGAACTGAAAACACCAGAATAACAGGTACATGCGGCAAAACCTGCTGTAGCCAGAAAATACACAGGACTGAGACCCATCCACAGAAAGTTGAGGAGCTATATCCCGATGGAGGTTGATGTATTTGTGAATAGGATTATTTGGGGTCAGGTAAAGAAGGCATTCTAAAGTTAACTTCAGTCATTTGTTAGACTCTGTAGTTGTTTGCAGATGTAGATGGAAATCTATGGAAGGCAAATTAGGTTGTTTGAAGTGGTTACCAATATAAACAAGAACGGTTGAGAGTTCATATATAACTGGCCGCTGTATAATCTGCAACTAAATTCTTCAGTGAAGGAGAGCTTCCCTAAAGTAGCTTAAGCCAAAATAATATGAACATACGTTCCACCGTACTGACCCACACGGAATAACATGGGGGTTAGTCGGTCCAGGCGATATAAAAGATAATACTACCCATATAAGGATCAGCTTTTCAAAACTAGATATAAAGGTTCGATTGGCTGGTACGGTATAGATGGTAGAAAGGTCAACTCACGACATCAAACTCCTCTGAATCCAGCTCACCATCACCGTTCAAATCGAACATTCGAAAAGCGATTTCGAACTGTCGTCGGGGTGCTGGTATGTAGAACGAAAAACAGCTCAAGAGGGGTTGAGTTCGAAAAAGTTTGTGGAAAGGGTGAATGAGAGTTAAGAGGCAACTAACCACAGAACGAAGCGTGAGCTTCCCATGCAAGAAATCATCTCGAGTCACTACAATGAACAAGTGATTCTGAGATTAGCTGAAGAAAGATCACACAACAATGTGCTGTTCTTGGTATTTGTAGCCCCTAGAAGCCAACCGCATGTAACCAACAGCCGTTCATCTAAGAGGGGATGTCACGATAACGACAGAAAGAGCACTCTAGCCCCTCTTCGCGCGATTCTCGAGCATTATGGTCTGTGGGCCAACGTTAAAGCACACGGATTGCTGGACATTCCACAGTTCTGTGCAACACAGGCTCCTTGTGGAACGAAACACACCTAAGTGGATGTGAGTCATATATATATATATATATATATAGCGTAAAAACTTACGAAGCCAAAATCCCGTTACAATAATATCCTTTAAGTTACTAAAGATTGTGTCTATTTATTTGTCCATTAAAACGCTTCATTCATCATTTACGCTAAATTACTGATACAAACTGTTCATGCTAGCAAGTAATGCATTCCGAAAATTAGCGCATGAAATTACCAAATGAATTGAGGCACAGTGAGGAAAACTTGCCCGCATAAAAAGACGTGCACATGCAACAACCCCCAGTGAATATCCATCCACCTTCGACAAGTAAAGCGGACGTATTGTGAATAGCACGGAATCGCCCAACCGACCACTGAGACGGAATTCCGAATGAGGGAGTTGTACCACCGGACACAAAGGTGCTATAAAGTCAGCACCTCTTTACAACTATGAAGCTGAGTTCACGCGAATTAATAAGGTGGTATACGAACAGATGGTAAGTGAATTCCTGACAATGTAGGCATCAAATAAAGAATGACCCAGGAGAGGACATTATTCAGTGGTGCAGATGGGCACATGTTCAAACACGGCATTGTGGTTCTTCCAAATACGGGGGCGTAGAAAGGACACGTGGAAATCCCGAGAGAAGCGTCTAGCACAAGCTGGGACGCGAGCGGATTAAGCATCGAGATGTAACCCAATTGACAAACGGAACAGCTCGTGTTTAAAAGGCCAGGCGAACTTTTCAAACAGCCAATCCAAGAACGAGATCAACAAGCCAATTATGTGACATATCCCAGACCAATCGGGTAACTGGTCGGGTGCACCGATGAAACTATTCAGTCATTGGCCCGCTGAACTGTGACTGATGTGGGAATAGCATACAACAGCCAACGACTGCAGAGCGAGGAGTACACCCCTCATTCCAAGGTACGCCCCTACATAGTTGGGAAAGCTCAAAAGGATGCCAAAGTCGATTCGAACTTACTAGACAAAACCGTGAGCAGGAAAACAAAGTCGCTGAAGGAGATCAATGCCTTGTCACACAGGGTGTAGAACACGGAATCCTTGGGAATGTCCAGATTCAAAGGAGTCACCTGAAACCAATTTGTGGGGTAATTAGTGCAATTTGAGAGAAAACTATGTAACAAAATCAGCTGGTTCAAGCTAACACACAGGCACTGCGGTTGGTCATGGGAACAGGTAAGTAGCGACCATGTGTGGTGTAGTTTAACTGAACTTCAAGGTCTGCGAGTGGTGCATGGAAAAACGGAAAACATGTCCAGCGAACATGGTACGGATGGATAAAACATGAAAGCACCAACACAGGCCAACCGTTTTGAAGTTAAGGCAGTTCGCAAGCACACCATCCGGGTGGTCATGCAGAACACGGAAGGACAGTGGGAAAACTATCATGTGTTTGGAAAAGTGCACCAATCATGCTGGGATGAAGGACTTCAAAGAAGCACGCACACGTGGGATAGCATGATTAGCACGAGGTCGTCACACGAAGAGTGTAAGCGTTAAACATAGCACTGGATGCAGCATCATGATGGATCTTGGAATACACGTGTTCCCGGCAAATCAAGTGAACGTACGGGGTCCAGAATTCAAAGTGGGAAAGGAATATAGTGCAAAATACAAACTGTTGCACACGCACCCAAACACACTGTGTTCATGGACTGATTAGTAACCCCCTTACTGTACCTTCAAGTTTATCCTGGGCAGATCCTGAAGGTAGTGCTGGCAGCGCGAACCCTAGATAAAACTCGATGGTGAAGTTCGGCAAACGGACGACCTTTTACAGCTGGATCCACAAATTCAAAAACAGTACAGCAATCGCATACTACCACGGAGAGAAGTTAGGAGTGAATAGCGGTTGCAGTACGAAAAAAAACTCAAAGAAAACGGATTGCAAACAGAGAGTGGCGGTCAGTTTGGCGCCAGTAAGAAAACAACATAACTCTTGCTCAAAGTAGCCCCCTTTCCGAAATCGGGTCGCTTCCCAGAAAACCTGCGGTAGGAGTTCTTAGTGAGGTTTCTACTGAATTCCCAAACCTGCGAGGGACTGTACTTCATCTCGCCACATAATTTACGGATTCCATTCCCGATAAGTGATTTTACCCCTCAAGAATACCTAGAAACTTGACCGTCTAAAAAAGTACGGAATGTCTCAGTCATAAAAGTCACGCGGCAATTTTGAAAATGAGTTATAGAGGGCGAGTCGATTGATAGCAAGGTCTGTGAATTGATTGGAACAAGAGTAAACGATGGTTTTGAACGCAAACACAAAAGCATGGTTACTACTCGATAAATGGATAGATGAATAAATAGTAATCACCCAGCTGTTACACCCTTTCGGTGCCTAGCTGCCATGCCACCCGCAGGAAGCACGGGGACTGGGATACTGCCAGGTTGCCCAAGCCTAGACAGGGGAAGTCGAGAGGCAGAGGTCGGGTTCGAACCACGGACCCGCGCTCTTACCACTTGAGCCACCTCGATAAGTATCAAGCAATGAAGGACGTCAAACAGGTGTTTTTTCCAGATACTACCTCCCCGTCACTGAGCGCGGGCTCCAGTCTCCGTGTCTCCTGTCTACGCTTGGACAACCTGGCAGTATACCAGCCCTCGTGCTTCCTTCGGGTGGCATGGCAGTTGGGCACCGAAAGGGTGCTTTAGGTAAACGATCACTTTAACTACTTATTACTTGGTGATTTCAATGAATATCGGCAGGGCATTTCAGGCGCAATTTCTGTCTTCCATCGAATGTTCGAGATATACTCGAAGTACCACTGCTAGGTAAAATAGTAGGCCGGACTGATATAGGCATCTCATTCGGCGTCATATATCAGTTCGCTGACTCAGGGCGATAGAATAGGGAAGTTTAGTTAAATTGTTTTATGGTGGCCGTCTCCGATTCACAAATGATGTCTCGATTTGCGGGAACCCATGTTAACGGAAGTGCGCAAATTAGCTGACGCAAATTTCTGTCCACGGAAGTATACCGTGAACGCGGTGGAGACCCTGCTTGTCAACATCAGCATGGATTGTTTGAGCCACATTTTCCTCGGTTCACCAAGTCGACACCGCCTGCCTCAGCATGACCAGGCTGTAAGCACTTGCTTCGGAAGTTGCTTCGACGGTTCTCGTGAAAGGCGTTCAGACCGCAGCGGTCAATGATTAGGAAATAATATGCTTCGGTCCATTTCATAGGTAGGGCTACATCTATGTGAACATTTGTTTACTCAGTTCGGTCTCGATTGTAGCTTTGTGATGAAAACGCTGCAAACGAATGGTTTAAAGCTCGTGTCTCTAAGGGTTCCCAGGACGTCAACAATTTTGACTGGTCCCGAGAATTTTTTCTCTTGGAATGAAGAAGTTGGAATGCTATTATGGCTTGTTATCCCACAATGAACGAGGACAATCAAGGACTCGATCAATGTTTACACACTACTTCCTAAGACCAAGCTGAAGCCAAAGTGAATAGCGAAGGACCAAAAACAAAGACAACAGGGATACAAGTGGAAGTAGGGGTGGGAAGGAAGTAGGGCGGGAGAAGTCACTGCCTAAATGGACGAGATGAAACTGATGCGCCCCAGCTGGTAAGCACAAAAGAGTAGGCCAGCTACATCGAAGAAAGTTCAGCCACCAGTTCAGGGGCCATGGACAGAACAACAACCGACGAGACTCCGTTTCCCATAAGATTCAGCCAACCATAACCCAGCAAACATCGATAGGTTTTTTTTCGCTATAGCCAGAGCACCGTGTGCGCATGCATCCGACTAAAGGGAATACTGAATTCTTCAGCAAAACCAAACTACCTCAACAGTATGGCCGGGTATGCATGCCAGTAGCCACCGGACTGTTTGAATCACGTGCCCCACAGTTCGCAGGCGAGCGCTGATGGGCGCAAAAAACATTCAGCGCTTTAATAACTATGAATAGGTGAAGCCTTATTTGTAGAAAAAAGTCCCTTAATTCCTAGTTCCATGTTCACATGCGAACGAAACAAACTTTGTTCTAAGAATAGGATGCCTAAAAAGGACAGCTTACCTATTTAGGGTGAGTGTAGAAAGATCTGACTGGAACTGTGATTCCACAATCCACCTATTAAGAGTTTACCAGTAATGAATAGACTAATTTCAATCAAACAATCAGTCAGTCAGCCAGTCAATCAATCAATCCTTACACCAGTTCGAAGAATGCAGAAGCAGCCCATGACGATTCCCAAACACATGCAAATAGTGTGCTTTATGGAACACGGTGCATAGTGTCTAACCTCGATTACACAATTAATGACATGGGACAGCTTGCTGGATGAGGCATGCACAGAGACATGAAAGTCGTTCCGTGCAATGAGGTTGGGCACAAATGTGTAGATGTGCAGAAAGAAGTGAGAAGGAACCAAGCCAAAGTCAGGTGGAAAATAGTATCCAACCGCACACACACACACACACACACACACACACACACACACACTGGGTGACTTGTCGGAGTGAAACTAACCTGATTGTTTCGCAAAATTACATTTCGCTACCATTCAAAAAGAAACAAGTTGTAGTTTGAGACATAGTAAAATAAATCAATCAGAACTAGAGAGTACGAAAAGAATTTCAGCTGTGATGAGGGGGCTCACGGTCGCTGTGGCAAGTCGGTACTGTCGTTATGGACACCAGGATGGTAAAAGTTTAACAACAGCAGAGTAGCAAACTAGTCCGGTCTGAAGCAAGCCCCGTTGCGAAAGAATTTCGCCATAAACGTAAGAATGATTTGTTTTTAAAAAGCCAAAGAGAATATAGTAATTTCTAATCTTTTGATAACATGTTTCGAACATAAGTAGCCCACATCTGAAACCTTGGACCAGAATGTACCGAGCTGGGAAAATGTTGGTGCTACAGAAAGAATCGCAATGAATCTGGCAATGCCAAGATTGCCACTAGTTGTCGCAGCATTCCGCTGTCAGCTGGGCTTCTAATGCACCACCAGGCTTCGAAAATAGGCTAACCCGTTACCCTGATCATAAGATGTATCAATACATCAAGGTGAACTGGCCTGATAGTTTTGATATATTCCATTTTACTGACAAATAGAAAATATTTTGCAGCTGAAGGCGAAAAAGTGGAAAGAAAATAAACGAAAAATGGTTCTCGTTCGTTTCCAACCGTCTGTGGATGCATAACACAGCTGGTTAAGGGCTGCGGAAAGCTCTATCACACATTCGGCCCGAGTCAAAGCACAACAGTGATAAGGTGAGTATCACAACGGTGAAGATGTCCGTCCACTAGAGCGTTAGTGTCCCCCACTGGCGAGGGCTCACAATCGACCAGCAACAAGAGAAAGGCCTCAGGCCACTAATAGCCAGAAAATTACGAAACCCGTGGCAGCTGGTATCCCCACCACCAATGTAAAAAAGACTATGTAAAGAATCGATAAACCATGACACGTTTGCACGATCCGTTGAGCAAGTGCCTGCAAAAACATAAAAGAGAAGCTTACAACTGGAGTCTCACTGGTTTCCAATCTCCGACTTGGAATTAACTGTTCATTATCATCAACAGACAACCTAAGGGCAACGAGTTCAAACCTCCCATGGGAGGCTTTCGACAAGATTGAAAACGGTCGTGTGACGCTTCTTGACATTTTAGCAGGGACTGATTTTACCTACGGGATAGAGCAAAACCTCAAAATCCCGCCATTATGTAGTTTTGGTGTTGTTCTCGACGCTGCTGTGACAACTGAACGGGAGCATTTGTTTCTCTCGGGAAAAATACAGACAAAGCCAACAGAGCCGATGTGCAAATAAACATGCGAAAACCAAAGATTAGTAAAAAGCACAGACACCATGATGTTTGGTGAAAACGAAGGTTATGAACCCAGGACTACGGATCATATCCAGACAGAAGAATGATGGTAGCGAACAAAACTGGTTTTTTGATAACTGTTCCTCTTGGATAATAACTCACAAATTGACATGGTACCAAAAACCGTGTGATAAAGGTTGTGAAAATCAGGGGTATGTGCAATTTACGGAAAGAAAAGGAAAACCGAGGAAAAAGGGAGTTGAATGAGAGGTACATGGGTAATGAAATCAAGTGAGTGACGACAGTGTTTGTGAAGCCAGTTCAAGTTCAGAGGTCACGATGAGGTTCCGTTTAGATCCCGTCTCATTTGGCTTACCAAATTCGAAAACCAAAAGTTAAACGCATTTAGTTCACAGTTCACATTGTGTTGCAGCTACGTGGGCGACATTTTGTACTTGCTGCACAACAGATGTGCTAAGCAGCTTGAGTTCAGTTCATACTAATATCAAGGTTGCTATCGAGCTAGAACAGAACGGACAATTTAGTTTCTCAGATAGCAGCATCATAAAGAGGACTGATGGGGTGTTAGAGCTCAAAGTTCACAAAAAGCAAACCTGGAAAAGTTAGTAGTCATTCTGATAGCTCTATTCTGTTGCAACAGGAATGCAACTTAGCTGGATGCTTGATTGAGACGATAATGAAGATATGCTCCTCCGATTGCTTACAAGAGGACTTAAGTCCTGCAAAGTGGATATCCCGAACGGTTCGTACTCAAGACTAGGCAATCTATGAGGCCAAAACCTAAATAATGTTCAATTGGGAAGATCTCCGTCTACAGGAGTCCCCCACTCAAAGGTGACTCGGTTACTGAAAAGTCCTGCAGGATATCCCGAACGGTTCGTACTCAAGACTAGGCAATCTATGAGGCCAAAACCTAAATAATGTTCAATTGGGAAGATCTCTCTCCACAGGAGTCCCCCACTCAAAGGTGACTCGGTTACTGAACTAGTTACTAGAAGGCTTAGAAACTCTGTTGAAACGACATAGACGCGTTCTAATCTGTGCTTGGCTTCAATTCCAGCCCCACTATCAGGTTCCGATTGAAGGATAAATTGCCACATTCTCTCACCAGCCTCTGTATGTAGTCATACGTTGGTCGTACTGCAAGGCGTTTGTGTGACAGAATTCGAGAACACAATCTCGCATCCTTTAGTTGGAAAAAACCGGGCTCAAGTGCAATTGGCCGAAATCAGTCATGCCATCGACAAAGAGCATGCCTTTGAGATCCTATACCGGCCACCTCTGAACCGTCACGGCTGGTACGATCCAGACTATTACTGATCGGAGAGTCGATTGAAATCTGCCTGCAACCAAAAGAAATTTGTGTGGCCTCTGAACTTGAGTTGGTTTGCGAAAATTCGGTCGCACAAACTTGTCTGACCTTGACCTCCGTGACCCACTGACCCATGTACCTCTCATTCAACCCCCGTTCCCTGATTTTTCTTTTTCTTTCATGTAATCTTTACGCACGTGGTTTTTTGTACCATATGGATTTGCGATGTATTGGACTTGAGAGACAAGCTTTGTTCGCTACCTTTGTTGTTCACATGACTCCCTCGGGTACATTCAACCAACTGCCATCACAAGAGTCGACAAAATGTGTGATAAACCGTGGATTCATTATAACGTTCCAGACGGTTGCTGCCGTTTTTCCGAAGATGCATAGGAGTGGGTGGTATAGTAATCTTGAAGTAAAAGATGAACAATCAGAGTGGAAACATTAATGAACGAGTAGCACGTACCTTTGGATCGTAGCGCAAGAATGAGTCCAGATCCAATCCTTCGGGTTGTTTTGTTCCGGGAGTGATGGAACGAACAAAATCATCTGGCGTCATTAATATGGTCTCCCCATCGTCATCCACACACTTCAGAGTGGCAAAGTAACGGAAGATTTTGTCCGGTGTGGAGTAAGCACGAATTCGGTCCTCGTAGGCAATAAACTGAAAAAAATCGATGATACGAGAAGGAATTCTTAATGGGGCAAAATACACAAATAAGTGATACAACCCATAAATCATGGCAACATGGCTGCCTTCCCTCGCCATTCCACGTCGGCTGAGATGAACAGCACCGTAGTCTAATGAGCACATTCTACGGATGTGGGTGTCAAGTTGTCTGTAATGTAACCCAGATTAGGAACATCAAGAAGCGTACTGACCCAATATGACTAAGAACAGATAGGGCTATTGGAACAAGACTCTGCTAGCCAAAAAATCGGTTTGTCGAGAATATTCCGAATATTCAGTCTATCCCAAAATTGTCCAAAAATGTCAATTAATTATGCCCAATCCAAGCCTGTATGGATCGGTTCTCCTATGTATTCGAATTGGGAAGATTCAAGATAGACTGAAAGTTTGTTCACAGGTGAACGGCCAGTTTGACAGTCGTGGCTTCGGAGAAACTTCTAACAGAGAAAAACGCAACCCCTAAGGCAAATACTTTTAAATGGGAGCAAAAGTAAACCTCCAAAAGATGTTTAGCTTGAAGAACAGGACGACTATTGTTTCGCTGGTCACTCATCATAAACCGATCTAGCATTCACTAAGCCACATATTGAAGTTGACACTGGTGATTCTGGTTGGACTGACAAACTGTGCCAGCATAAAGTGATGAGAGATAGAACTCAGCGTTGATTTCAGCTCAGAAAAAGTTTCTCACTAGTTACTAGAAGGCTTAGAAACTCTGTTGAAACGACATAGACGCGTTCTAATCTGTGCTTGGCTTCAATTCCAGCCCCACTATCAGGTTCCGATTGAAGGATAAATTGCCACATTCTCTCACCAGCCTCTGTATGTAGTCATACGTTGGTCGTACTGCAAGGCGTTTGTGTGACAGAATTCGAGAACACAATCTCGCATCCTTTAGTTGGAAAAAACCGGGCTCAAGTGCAATTGGCCGAAATCAGTCATGCCATCGACAAAGAGCATGCCTTTGAGATCCTATACCGGCCACCTCTGAACCGTCACGGCTGGTACGATCCAGACTATTACTGATCGGAGAGTCGATTGAAATCTGCCTGCAACCAAAAGAAATTTGTGTGGCCTCTGAACTTGAGTTGGTTTGCGAAAATTCGGTCGCACAAACTTGTCTGACCTTGACCTCCGTGACCCACTGACCCATGTACCTCTCATTCAACCCCCGTTCCCTGATTTTTCTTTTTCTTTCATGTAATCTTTACGCACGTGGTTTTTTGTACCATATGGATTTGCGATGTATTGGACTTGAGAGACAAGCTTTGTTCGCTACCTTTGTTGTTCACATGACTCCCTCGGGTACATTCAACCAACTGCCATCACAAGAGTCGACAAAATGTGTGATAAACCGTGGATTCATTATAACGTTCCAGACGGTTGCTGCCGTTTTTCCGAAGATGCATAGGAGTGGGTGGTATAGTAATCTTGAAGTAAAAGATGAACAATCAGAGTGGAAACATTAATGAACGAGTAGCACGTACCTTTGGATCGTAGCGCAAGAATGAGTCCAGATCCAATCCTTCGGGTTGTTTTGTTCCGGGAGTGATGGAACGAACAAAATCATCTGGCGTCATTAATATGGTCTCCCCATCGTCATCCACACACTTCAGAGTGGCAAAGTAACGGAAGATTTTGTCCGGTGTGGAGTAAGCACGAATTCGGTCCTCGTAGGCAATAAACTGAAAAAAATCGATGATACGAGAAGGAATTCTTAATGGGGCAAAATACACAAATAAGTGATACAACCCATAAATCATGGCAACATGGCTGCCTTCCCTCGCCATTCCACGTCGGCTGAGATGAACAGCACCGTAGTCTAATGAGCACATTCTACGGATGTGGGTGTCAAGTTGTCTGTAATGTAACCCAGATTAGGAACATCAAGAAGCGTACTGACCCAATATGACTAAGAACAGATAGGGCTATTGGAACAAGACTCTGCTAGCCAAAAAATCGGTTTGTCGAGAATATTCCGAATATTCAGTCTATCCCAAAATTGTCCAAAAATGTCAATTAATTATGCCCAATCCAAGCCTGTATGGATCGGTTCTCCTATGTATTCGAATTGGGAAGATTCAAGATAGACTGAAAGTTTGTTCACAGGTGAACGGCCAGTTTGACAGTCGTGGCTTCGGAGAAACTTCTAACAGAGAAAAACGCAACCCCTAAGGCAAATACTTTTAAATGGGAGCAAAAGTAAACCTCCAAAAGATGTTTAGCTTGAAGAACAGGACGACTATTGTTTCGCTGGTCACTCATCATAAACCGATCTAGCATTCACTAAGCCACATATTGAAGTTGACACTGGTGATTCTGGTTGGACTGACAAACTGTGCCAGCATAAAGTGATGAGAGATAGAACTCAGCGTTGATTTCAGCTCAGAAAAAGTTTCTCTCAGAACAGTCTCCTCTAAAAGAGTGGTGCAATCATTAGCGACTGAACCAACCCCAGCGGTCTGCTGAATATCCATCAGTATGCACATATTAACAGAAAACCAAGTATCGCGCTGTGTTTCGATTTCAAATACACAGAGAGTATATGAAGGCATGACGTGACAACCCTCGAAATCCAAAAAACAATCGCATTGTGATCACGTTTACAGCGGTTTCGAAAGACAACCTTTTCGAGTAACCATGCTGAGGGTGAAAACGAACCAGGGAAGGAAACCCAACAAGTTGGCAGCGAAATATGAGAACATTTATAGCAAACTGAGCTGCACTGATCATTGCTCTCTTCCCGAGATGAGACGCATCAGCGGTTAGGAAGACTGACTAAGCGTTCACATTGTACCGTCATGTGGTGCTCTTCTGTCGTATTTATGAACTCAGCAGAAGTCTCTGAAGAGTTAGTTACAGTCTTGGCTTCCGGTATACTTCGCACGGTATACTACGAAAGTAAACGCTCCGCTAAAAAGCTGTTACGAAGTGACTAGGCGTTATCATGGTGTGACGATTTGAACATCGCCGTGACCCATCGAGACATACTGGGGGATGGCTCTGTAACACCCGGGGTCTCTCCTATCAGGCTGGTCATAGGATAGAGGTCTGACAAACAGTATGCAGACTGGAAGTTGGGTGTCCGCTTTTCCGGTAGTCTTAAGCGGACCAGCGCTGCCTTGCGATCAGGTTTATGAACCAGAGATTTCGGATTAGGGCGCTAATTATCCTCCTGGCTATGTTTCCAATAATCATAATCATAATCTCATATCACATTGGCCGTCGGGCGGTGTCAACAGTTGGGTCACCTGACTTGCTGCATACAGCAGAACGGTGAAGTGAAAACGGGCTACTGTTAGGCATTCTTTGATTTTCTCTCGATTATTATTTCTTCCACCCACCCCCCATTATAGCAATCATCTTATAGCCCTCTTCGTAAAGAATGGCGACCCTATTCGTTTTGCAACGGTGGTATACTAGCTAAGCTTACCCACGCTCTCATGAGAACTCTGGATAAATCTTGTAAGTTCGCTTTATTTTTATTCCTGTGCTCAGTTGATTGTTTTGCTTGGTCCCCAGTTAAATATTAATTTTCACTGGCAGTGAAGCATCGGTGTTGAACACTGATGTCATGCTGTCGATGATGATGATTTCACTGGAAAGCCGGTGGTGGGAATGTCCATCGTTAGTGTTAACTCAAATACAGTGGAAATCGGTAGCAAAGCAAATACTTACCTTCCCGGCGTTACAACGGATCACAACAGATACAAACAGATTGTTTTGACGCGGGATAGCGCCTCACCGGAAGTTTGAATACTGAGGATAGTGTGGCAGCTCTTTGAATCATGGCAGTGGAATTTTGTGTTTTATCAGCTTCTGTACGGTAAATCTAACTGCTTCGTGTTAAACAAACGCTTTTGCGTACCTCGACTGAAACACATGAGCGTATGGCCTAATAATTAAGCCTAATAGTGTCCGAAACACCTGGAATGAACTCACATCCTTTGACGTTAAATCCAATTTAACCATTCTGAGTTTGAGGTGCAGTCTCATATGTTGTTCTCTAAATTCTTGTGATTTCCTAGTTTACTTACTCTTACAACGGCAGTGAAGCATCGGTGTTGAACACTGATGTCATGCTGTCGATGATGATGATTGGGATGATGATGATGATGACGATTGATGATGATGATGATGATGATGATGATGATGATGATGATGATGATGATGATGACTACTCTTACAACTTTGACTAACGCTTGGATGAGCTGTTTTTTTGAAGAGCATCAACCTTGTGTAAAGCGATGACATATACCGAAATGGATTCTCGTACAGGAGTATAATTCATATCCCTGATAACTGATTCTTGCTTCTCGCTGACACTTTCGACAATCCTGAGAACGAATAGTACATACAAACACAGACTACTGTTCTCCCAAAAATACGTGATGCACGTCGGCAATATTGATCGGCCGTTCGAGTCAGAACCGAGCGAACCTCGAGATATATCAAGCTATACAGACCGCATAACCGAGTTTCTGAACCAAATAACATATGAAACTCACTACGATGCACCAAGATAGACCTTCGACAGATAAACTAATTTGCCACCTAAGTTAGGGATGCTGCAGGTCTGTAAAAGCTGCGCACATCCACAAGGGAATCGCACCTTCACTTGGATCCCCGAGGCTGGTACAACCGCTAAAGTCAAGCAATTTGTCTACAACTATCGCATTTTCTACCGGTGTTGAAGTCGAGTTTGAACACACCAAACGGTAGCAGTTTACATAACGTAGATCCGAAGTGCATGAAAAAACCCTCAGTGGAACTGTTGGAAATTCCGAGGAGTTTGACTTTAGATCTGCATCGTCTACGTACTCGATGCCTGAGCAAATAACCTGAAACCAATGACGGTACATACGTTAGAGACAGGTAAGGAACATTACACCATTATATCCATAGAGAAGTTGAGGAGGGTAAAGAGGAAAAGGAAACATCTTTGGTTATCACCGATTAGTGAAATGATCTCTTACGAGACCTGACCATTAAAGCATACGGCAGCTGACATACAACACTTTTGAGATCCTTCAAATGTTTTCGTCTGGGTTCCATAGTACCTCTTAGTATGGTCACTTTAAGTACTGATACACACTACCGTTCAGATTATTATATCTGAAAAATTGTTTAGAGAGATGGAAAACCCACCTTACGATCTCTGAAACCCATTCGCTTCTTCTTCTGGGTCATGAAGAGCTTCCGAAGCTTGATCTTCGTTTGGAATACATTCCATTGTCTGGCATTCGACTTTGGTAAGCAAATCCTTAAAAAGTGTTTCACGTTAATAGCAAGTATCTTCGTGCCTTTTGCCTCTTTCGGCGTTTTTCCACATAATCCACCTCCAGTGTATCAAGGTATAGCCCACTACGTAAGAATTTTTACTCGAAAAGGCACCGACTTACCCACCAATACTGAAAAACATCAACAAACTGACGCAAAATACGATATAACCAAAGTACACAATGTTTGGTTTGCCAGGGAAGGCCTTCCTGTGATGTGTGTACCGGTTGCGGTATGGACCATCGGTACTGCTAAGTCGTGCACCAAGGATCGGTAAATTCAAGCCAGGCTTCCTCACGAGTGAAGCTAGTGGGTAAGGCCGGAAAAGACAAGCCGACCGAAAAATCCATCTGGCAGGCAACATCACCAAGTGGTTGAAAAAGCTAACCACGTTGAACACGGGGTAAACCGTTACCGAAGAACTGTGCTTGTTTACGAGGCTAAAAGAAATAATCACATGTTTCTTTCCAAAAATTAGATAAAAAAGAACAACAAACTCGTGATTATCGAAGCTATAAAATGGAGTGATAATCATAGCAAGACCAGTAACCGTCAGTGGCGCATTGTTCGGTCTAAGGCAGTGACAAGTGTGGTCCATGAACCACTACATTTGAACGCAGACAGGCAGTAAATCGGAATATTTTGTATAAATATGAACATATAAATATATAAATACGAATACAAAAATATAGTTAATAAAATAATAATAATATATTTCAAAAGGGGCGAGATGTTTCAGTGGTTAGAGTGCGAATTTACTGACTACGAGGTGCAAGGTTCGAATCTGACCTCTGCCTCTCGAAATCCAATGTCTAGGTTTGGGCAACCTGGAAGTATCCCAGCCCTCGTGCTTTCTTCAGGTAGCATGGCAGCTAGGCACCGAAAGGGTGCCACAGCTCAACAATGTGATGGTGATGGTTTTTATTAAAAAAAAACTTGGATCAGGTGGTTATCATATCATCTGTTAGCTTGACCACTTGCTTGTAAACGTTCCATCACCAATTGCGTCATCATCATAATCATCATCGTCAGCTGTAAGAACCGCGCCGCGTTCGTGCACTGGTTGTAGCTGCCGCAGTTTCGTTCACCGATGATTTGGGGGTGGGGGGTAGGTAGCTGCGCATTGCACGCGCGAGCTGGTAAATTGGTGCATAAATCCAGCACTGTCAGTGGGCTGTCAAGTGGGGGGTTG